GGCAGCGCCGGGCCAGGCGCACGAGGCGCTCGCGGCTCAGGCCACCCACCGCCAGCCCCTCCACCTCCAGGATCTGGTCCCCGGGCCGCAGACCCCCGGCGTGTGCGCTGCTCCCTTCTGTCACCTCCAGGACGAAGCAGGGGCCCGAGCCGCCCAGCCGGAAGCCGAAGTCTTCGGGCCAGCCCTGGTTGGTGGCCGGCATAGCAGCGCTGGAAGTGCGGCTGGAGAGAGAGAGAGAGAGAGAGACCGCACAGCGGATTCATTTTGGCCCTGTCCACCGCGCTGCAGACCGCTTAAAGACCCAGGAGATGCGCCAGTCTGGGCCTCTGCTCCTCTCTGCCTCTGGGTGGAGGATTAGGTCTTAAGATAGTGTCTCAACTCCAGGATCCAGCTGTGCCTGAAATTCACCAACGTCCATGTGACAAAAGGACTTCTCAGTGACATGAGCTCACAAATTCCTACTGACTTTGGCGGGTATTTGCCTTTTGAATTGTATGACTCTCCTTTTTGACTTCCTTGGGGAAGCATGGTATGGCTGATTTGGAGGTCTCTGAGCTCCTGGGTCTAGGGGAGGGGGTGCCTCTGTCCTCCAAAAGAGGCCAGATCGTGTGGGCTGGTGAGTGGGCGGGAGACACAAAAGTGAACATTAATAAAGGGAGACCTCCTAAAACGGAGTCAGGAGGCCAGAAGGGGGAGCCATACAATTCTCCCTCAATTACAGTAAGGATTATCTATTCCAAAGCCCCACAGAAGAATCATCAAACAGAAAAGAATCATTGATTACAAGTCCAACAGGAAAAGATGTACATTGCCTCTCCTACAAGAAAAGGACCACCCCTGCAACTCAGCCAATGAGGAACCATGATCACCCCCATCTCTTGCTTCTCTCCAATGGACTTCTGTTCAAAACCACCCCTCCCAGCTTCCTTGTTCTTCTCTATAAAGTTCCTCTCCTTTGTTTGTTGGACTCGTCTATGGCTTTTGCCATAGCTTGCTTGTCCTGAATTGCTATTCTCTACCATTCCTGGGTTAACCCATTTTTCCTGGAAAAATAACTTTTATTTTTGAGGTTAACAAACTCAGCCCAGGGAGATGAAGGTGACTGTCCTGGATGGAACAATCTATGTGTGTTCCTGTAGGTCTGTTTAGGGCAGGGGTTTTTCACAGTCCACGGACAGCCTCTGAAACTGTAGGCCGTATGTGGTGTGAAGGCTCTGTTTTCCGGGGAAGGGTCCTTAGTTCAGAGGACCTCCTGACTCTGGCTTCAGAGAACGTCTGAGGGCTGGATTTGAAGGCCCTCCACATGGAGTCATCTGCCCAAGACACCTTACCACGTCTTAGCGGCTGGGGAATTGGGGCGAGGAGGAGACCCGGGGTTCCAGCAGCATTGTGGTCTAGGAAGAACCAGGGACACTTAAGGGACAACCAGGGAGAACCAGTCTCACCGGGACACCAGAGGACAGTGTGAGCACTCCTCACCTGGGTGTGGTGGAGGCTGTCACACCCCAAGGCTGGCCAGCTGCCTCCCGAGCCCATCCCAGGGGACCTGGTCCTCCTCTGCCAGGTGGCCATGCTGCCCCGGGGCCTCGGGGACACTTACTCTGTCATTTGGTGGCTTCACTGGACTCCTGGGTGCACTGGGCCCAGATGGGGTGGGGGCATCACCACGCCTTAGAGGAGCCTGAGGTCAGTTCTTGTACCATGAGAAGTAGTCAGCTCCTCCACAACCAAAGAGGGGCTGGCTGGCAGCTCTGAATTGGGGGCTGGGGCACAGCTGTGGCAAGGCTGCCTCTCAGAGGCCAGAGCAGACAATGCCTCGCTCCTCTACACCCAGCCTGTGGAGCCCACAGATCCAAAGGGGCTGCCATCACTCGGACCCTGCTGGGCTTCTACACCAGGTCAAGCCCTCCCGTGTGTCCCCAGCCCTGCAGAGTGACTCAAGCCCTCTCCCACCCACCCCGAGCTCCTGGTGTGGGTCGCTCTCTGCTCTCTCACCTTCACCCAGAAACTGGAATCCAGGCTCCTGGCAGGGCTGATGGACTATCTCAGGGCATGAGAGGGAGGCATCCCAGGGCCGCCCGTCCCAGAATATTGGGGGCTGAACCCCACGCTCCCAGGTTTGCTCACCTTCCTCACTGGCAAGTTCAGTGGTCGCAGGGACAGAGCACAGGGCTTGTGGAATGCCTGAGGACACTAGCTTGTTGCCAGCCCTCTGCTGCTCAGGGCCTTGGCGTCAGTTACTGATGCACCCAAGGTGACAGCTGGAGTTTCTAAGGCAAAGTGATCCTCCGAGTAACCTGAGAAGGCCCCAGTTACCAGGCAGACCAGCAGGATGGCTGGACAGCTTGGCCACGGCCCAGAGTGGCCAGCCCCTGCTGAGTGGTCCTGGGGGGCAAGCAACGATGCTCAGACAGGAGTGAAGGCTGGCTGGAGCCGGGCCATGGGCTGGGTCCACCCATGAGGTCATGGAGCTTGGCAGGTGGGTCAAGAGGGTTCATCTAGGCTGTTTTGAGATGAGGGGGTGTCCCTCAGTCCAGCGATGGCAGAGGGGACTGATGAGACTCAGGAGGGCATGGGGACCCGGTCTCCACGGAGAATATCACTGCCGGAGCCCTGACGGTCAGATTTATCGTCAGAAGAAGGGGAGATCCAGCCCAGGAAAAAAGGTTTGGATGGGCAAAAAGATGCTCACCGAAGTAACTTTGGAAGTGAGTGGAATCTGCAAAATTAAAGGCATATGGAACTGCACACAACACCTCTAGCTGGGGAAGCTGTTTCCCACGGGGTACGGGTTAACAATTCTGAAATCACACATGTGCATGCTGGAATCGAACAATTAGTAAATGGACTGTGGCAGCCAGGTTTCTCTCTGGTGGAGTGGGAGGTTACAGGCAAGCAAAGGGGAAGGCTAGAATAATCCGTGCGGTACTGGATTAGAGTCGGGGATGTCAGTATGAACTCATGCTCAGCTTACTACAGCTGCAGATGGACACATATAGAAATATTTATAGATCTGTGTACATGCATAGGTTAGTATATGAACGTATGCCTGCTTATTCTGTCAGCAAGAGGGCGTGGAAGCAAGGTACCCCGGCAGCAATGAGCACATCTAGTGCCAGATCTTGGCTTCTAATATCATTCTCCAATAAAAGGAGCCCAGGATGCTTAGAGAAATGACTGATTCTAGGCCTGGGGCAGGAAGGACACAGGATGAGCCTAGAGCATCTTCTAGTGCCAGAGAGTACAAAAGTGCTAAACACACACACACACATACACACACACACACCCTCACCCTCAAGTGCATGCAGCCATGTACGATGGGGTTTGTCAAAGGGACACAGGAACAAATTGAGAGAGATTTCATTGGCCAAAGATGGAACAATTTGAGCAGAAAATAAATAACATAGTACTGGATTATAACCCAAAGTATAAAATAAATATCCATGAGTCTATACTGATGTAAACAAATGGTTGAATAAATAGAGGAGAAGAGACGTATCTCCCATGCAGAAGAATTCCAAGTAATTTATAACTTCTCCCCTTTAAGTGTGGGCTTCCTTCCATAGTGACTTCCTTCCAACAAGGACAGAATGAAGGGGTGGGTATCACAGTACTTTACAGCAGAGAAACTGACAAACACGACCTTAGACAGGTGATCAAAGTTAACAGCAATGGGGAGAAATCAGGTTGATGGCATGTGCCCTTCATCTGATGTGATGTGAATGGCACTTAGCTTCTGTGACCTTCCTCTCCTAAACCCATAACCAGTCCGGCTATGAGGAGGAAAAACATCAGACATACTTAAATTGAGGGACATTCTATTTTTTTTTTTTTAAGATTTTATTTATTTGCGAGAGAGAGAATGAGAGACAGAGAGCATGAGAGGGGGGAGGGTCAGAGGGAGAAGCAGACTCCCTGCCGAGCAGGGAGCCTGATGTGGGACTCGATCCTGGGACTCCAGGATCATGACCTGAGCCGAAGGCAGTCGCTCAACCAACTGAGCCACCCAGGCACCCAAATTGAGGGACATTCTAAAATGGGGTTTGTTAAAGGGACACAGGAGCCAGCTGAAAGGGCTCCCAGGGGCCAGTGCTGGAACAATTTGAGCAACAAAGTCAATAAAATAGTGTTGGGGGGCGCCTGGGTAGCTCAGTCGTTAAGCGTCTGCCTTCGGCTCAGGTCATGATCCCAGGGTCCTGGGAAGCCTGCTTCTCCCTCTCCCACTCCCCCTGCTTGTGTTCCCTCTCTCACTGTGTCTCTCTCTGTCAAATAAATAAATAAAATCTTTAAAAAAATAAAAAATAAAATAGTGTTGGATTATAACCCAAATAAAATGAATATTCACCGGTCCATACTGATACAGACAAAACATACTTGACTTTCAAAACTGCTGAGGTCAACAAAAACAAGGAAAGTCTGAGAGACTGTCACAAGTTGGAGGGGCCTAAGGAGACCTGATGACTCGATGCAATGTGGGATCCTGGGGCAGAGAAAGGGCATTAGGTAAAAACTGAGGAATCAGAACTAACTAATGATAATGGATCAACATTAGTTCATTAGTTGTGACAAATGTACCATAGTAACGTCAGATGCCAGCAATATATTGGAGACATCAGGTGTGGGGCAACGGAGAGCTACCGTCCCAGCTTTTCTGCACACCCAACACTATTCTAAAATTAAAATTTTTTTATTAAATCCCAGGCTGTGGGAGCTGGGGACCAGATGGATGGGACAATACTCTTTTTTTTTTTTTTTTTTTGAGAGAGAGAGAGGTGGGGAGGGGCAGAGGGAGAGGGAGAGAGAGAATCTTAAGTAGACTCCACACCCAGAGCAGAATCCAACCGCGGTTTGAGTTCACAACTCTGGGATCAGGACATGAGCCAAGATCAAGAGTCGGAGGCTTAACCGACAGCCACCCACGCGCCCCTGGGCGATACTCTTAATAGGTCATGACAATTGAGCTGGATGTTTTCCAGAGTTTGCTTACCCAAAGGTGCTCCAAGTTACTGTGTGTGTGTGTGTGTGTGTGTGAGAGAGAGAGAGAGAGAGAGAGATGTCTGTATATGTTCTCTAGTCTCATTTACATTACAAACTCCGCTAGGGAGATTACAGTATATCCTCTTTGGGAGAAAACCCCCAAAACTGTGAGTGAACCAGTGTCCACAGAGCATGGTCAAAGACTGACTGATGCTGGAATAGAAT